TATATATCGGCCGATACTGATACCATCTGAAGTTCCAGCTTTGTCAAGCTGTCTACCTTTGTGAAGCAGAAAAAAAGACTAACACAAAGTGAATCCAGTAGAACTTTTTATTGCCTTCCTGGAATGGGTTACATTAGTTGAATAAACTTTTGGCTCTCAAAATGGTATCGGTGCCCTATTTGTTGGTACTCACCAATACTGATACCACCATTTTAGTTCAGCACCAGGGCCCTGCCCGATACTGATATTTTAGTAGTGTTTAAATGGTATGTGGATTTGGTAAATTAAGTTAAAGTATTTTCACAAGAAAACTTTGGAGATGATTTTGATATACAGAAAAGGATAATAATTTTGTGTATTAAAAACAACAGATGCAAACAAGTTTGGGAAAACCGACAAGGTTTCTTTTAGGTAACTTCAATTTCTGTTTATATCATGCAATATCATGACCCTTTATAAAATGTTACGGTTTTCTCATTAGCTAGGCGCTGTATGATGTCATATTCATGATGTCCAGGGTGCTGTCCAGTTTTTAACTTTTTATTTTTTAACTCTTCAAAGTAATGGCTCCAGTTTCCATCACTGTCTGCCCCAAAGCCAAACACATGGACCTACAAAAGTAAAAAGATTATAATAATGAAAATTATCAAAGGAAAGCCAGCAAAGTTGTAAGGAAATTATGTCAAGACAGACCAAAGCTTATACAGTGCATGCCTACTGTTAGGGAGCTAATATCTTTACAGAAAACTTTTTGATCAATTTATTATACACCTTTAGCATGCCAGCTTATTTTTTTGCAAATGCCTAGCATAATCCCACGCTGAAAAAAAAAAACATCCTAACCTTCAATAGAGAGCAAGAACTTTGTGTGAAATAACTCCTACGGTATGATACATTTGCTTTTAAAAAGAAAACATGTGCCAGAGTAATTGGTGTAATTGTAATTGCTAATGGTTGATAAAGCTTTTATTACAACTATAGCAATGACGAATACACTGCTCTAGCCAATGTTTTCAATTTAAGAGAAGGAATTAACTGCGTCATGAAACTATCACAGTAGCTATGCTTATATGTGCAGATTTACACAATCAGTTTGAATTTAATTTGGATTAAACTACTTGAAATAAGATTGTACAGTTTATATTGACATAAGTAATCAGATTAAAACGGCCAAGCAAAATAAAAATGTGTCATGTAAACATGGCAATGGGAATATTCTGATGAGAGCTAGCCAGAGCAATTACTGTAGCCAATCAAAGCAAAAATACAGCAGGATTATGTGGGATGGCGGCTCATCTCTTTCAGAGGAAGCTAAAACCTGACAAGCATGTACTTGCATGCTGACTGGATTGTCAATCTATAAACTACGACTCTCATTCGGATGACAACATTCCAATCCTGCAGCAGGAGTTTAGCAGTCTAAGAAGACATAAGGCGGGGTACAGCCTGGACAGATCACAAGTTTATCGCAGGGCAACACTGCAGAATCTTATGAGGATATTCTGACATGTTTAGATGACAGATTTTAAATCTGATCAGCTGTTTATTCCAGTTACTTATGTCCATGTACAAGTAGCTATTTAGACAGGTGAGTCTGGAGGTGGAAATATGAGAAATGCAAGCATAACATACAGGATTTTTCAGCTATTTTCTTACCTACTATCCTGGACTGTATTTTAATATAGGCACTCAGTCGAATGAAAATGACCTTTTCCTCATACCCACCCCCTTTCATAACTCACATGTCTTGGCAGTTTCCATTTTGGTGGCATTCATGTGGGGGCAAGTTATGCTTTAATTTTTTTTATATCAAATTAAAACCGTGAAGAATAACTTTGAAAAACATACCTCATCACAAATGTGGAGCGCAAAAATAAAAGTCATAAATCCAGTGGATGGATATGCTCCTTTCTTTTTTAGCCAGGTCTCATGGGTATACTTCATAAAAGCTGGGTTGACCACCATCACCTGTCAAAAAGGAAATAGTCTCTAGTATTGAAAAGTAAGTTTAGCAAGAAGAGAAAAAAAAAAAATGTAATGCTCACTCACCAAGTCTTTATTGGCTCTAATTTTGGTTTTTATTGGCGCATAAGATCTGTTGAATACAATATAACATGACTAAAAACACAATGATTATTTAAAAAAGAAAATGGAAAAACAATCATTTTACAGATTGAAATACCAAGAAATCTAGATTTTAGCATTACAAAGTCCACCTATTATTAGAAGTTTTGGGCTAACATAAACACACACACGTCAAGTGTCACTATTCCAGCGTGGACATTCGATTGACTTTCTTTCATTTTTAAGAGAGTTCTTCGGCCTAACCCTGGCCTTTATCTTAAACCTAGACATTACGGGTTCATACCTAATCCTAACCTAAACTCACACCTTAGTCCTAAACCTAACATGTAACCAATATACACCGTTCACTGAATACATTTATATTTTTTGTGAACGGTGAACTAAAGGGATCAGTTTTAAAGTAATGAATGTGAATGAGTGCAATGTTCACTCTAAGAATAATGAACAAGACACACAGCTCACATATGCGTTCAGTTGTTAACAAAACTTTTCATTGGATAACGTCAGGTTTTACAGCACCTATTACGACAAACATGACCAACCAGCATGTCTACTGCTAGTACTAGTCTGTGCGATTCAAACTCATCTACTGGTGTTCCTGATTCTTATATATATTACTTAGTTTTATGAACTAGCAAAGGAAGACTCGGAAAGACAAATACTCATGTTTTTGTGCAAACAAGTTCCGTCAACCAGTAGTTGTTGTTTGGCTTCTCTGTTTTTTTTGCTTGTTTTTTTTAACCAATGCCTTTCGGTGGGTCTGTCATGTATTGATTCATGCTCCTGCTTATTTTTATTGCTATGACACCTGACTGGAGATTCAATGTTTTTCGAGAGACAGGCTATGCTGTGGTGTTAATAGTTAGTTGAGATTATGCCCTTCTGGGGGTCTTTCATTATCAGGACTTTTCGGCCCTATGTCAGCCGTTCAGGGTGGGTCCTGCTCTTCAACAGCCAGGTCATTTTGCTGCTAGGTGTTCATGGATACAAGTCAGTTTCCTAAGCCAGCAGGTGTGGATCATATCTGGGAACGGTGCTGTCCAGTTCTTCATACCTGAGAATCTAATCACATAGGAAGGTTTGCATGGTCAGCTCTTAGCTCTTCTAGGCACTTTGTATCGTTACGTAATGGTTCCTTCTCCCAAATACCTACTTGACCTTTCCTTGCTAAGCAACTCAAGGATCTAATGTCGTACCCTATATCAGCTCATTAGTTCTTTAATGGTCTCAGTAGGGCTCCAAGTTATGCTGTATTTACATCAGCCAGGAGATCATTTTGGTAGCACCTTATCTAGCCGAAGCTGGCGTTCACTGGTTCTAATCTGAGCCATGATTTTATTTCTTATGTAAGCAGTTCATCCATTTCGTTGTTGCATCATTTCGGCCTGGAACCCAGTATAAGAGGACTTGATGGTGGCACTCTCATGTGACCTCGAATCTTTGTTTCCCATTGTCAAAGCTGCCAGGGCTGGTTTCGCTGATCCTCCATGGTATCTTTTCATCTCCCACAGTTAGCCTCTACGGGTTTGCTTCAGGCAGCCATAGCCCCTCTTAGCTCTGCATCCCTTGCTGGGATCCCCAATGTAGCACTGTGTCACTCATGGGCAGCCATAGGCTCTATCCGGCCTTCAGTGTTCTTTTTTCCTATCCGATGTGCCGCTGTGCTCCTATGTTTCTCCACAGTTACCTTCTATAGTTAGCCCCAGCCAGCTGTAGCCTCTGCCTGCTGGCACTGTTACTCCACCAGAATGCTTTGCTGTCTTACTGAACTAGAATAGGCCTTCTCTAACCGCAATATTGTGCTGATTTTCCCAGAGGTGTCCTCTGATCTCCTGCTGTGGCTTCTTTGTTCCATAGGGCACCGTGGCTGGCAGCCTGGTCTCGGTTATGTTTTTTCTCTGACAGTGTTGTTGCACTGAGTTGCCACTGCGACTGACTGTTCTCCAGAATGCTGTCTCACCTAACCCTCTGTTGTCTGAGTGATTTGTCCCCCAATGCAGGACAGCATTTCCCCAAACTGGGTCACAGATAGGTGGAAGTACTTCTGAGAGTGACTATTATCCAGACCTAGCCACTGGAGGAGGTTGTGGTATTCCCCATACTAGTTATGTGTCTCGGAATCTTAAACCTAGGAATGTCAACAGCTCTGTTCGACTTTCTAAAGTAAAGAAACACTGCCAGTCGTTTTGTAAATTCATGTTCGCCATGATGACTAAATTTGTTTAAAGTAAATTAATTTAGGGACACAGCTGAAGGAATGAAATTGGAAGATATTTATTTCAATGGTTTTTTCATAATGACAATAATCTTTAGCCCTCTTACCTAGGGGGTGCTGTAGAACTATCCACACTTTGGCTTCCTAGCGCCTTGTGTGAATGTTAGAAGTATTTCAAAACTTTTTTCTGTGGTTAAAGGACAAAAGACCAACAATTTTACAATAAAGTGTTGGAATAAAGAACCCCTGTCAGATAAGGGGCTACAGTATTGTAATTTCTCCCTGCTAAAGACCTGGCTTCTGCATTTCAGTTTTTATCTCCAACAATAGCTCAAACACAAACGGCTGGGGTCCGACAGTTTCAATCAGGTTTGGCTTGTGTCTTAATGTGTGCACTATTACGAAGATAAGATTATAAAACTGGGCCATCCCCGATACTAGCTCTGTTTTTCCTGCGACCAATCAATGCCCAGACTCACAAGTAAACTCTTGGGTGTAAATGGTAAATGGCATGTACTTATATAGCACCTTTATTCAAGTCAGGAGACTTGACCAAAGCGCTTTACACTACATTCATTCACCCATTCACGCACACACTCACACACTGATGGTGGCAAGCTACATTGTAGCCACAGCTGCCCTGGGGCTCACTGACAGAAGCGGGGCTGCCGTACACTGGTGCCACCAGGCCCTCTGACCACAATCAGTAGACAATGCAGGTGAAGTGTCTTGCCCAAGGACACAACGACACTGAAAGTCAGGAGTCAGGGATTGAACAGTTAATCCTTCGATTTCACAGCAAACTCCTACATCCAACGCCACTGTCGGTGTACCCTTACGAGAAATGAAACAGTTAAAAAAGGGGGTTCAAACAAGCTCTATTTAGAAAATGATTTTCCTAATAGTGATTAAACATTGATTTGAAGACGTTTTCAAAATAATTGTATGTCTAAAATACCAGGTATTAACTCCCTTAATACTTTAAGACTTTAAGAATGTTGTTTGCTAAGTGTTTTTTCATTTCAGTCAGCCATTGGAAAACTATGGTTTAAAATACTGTTTTGTCTGTCATTGCTATTTCTTGTCCAATAAAGAAAATGTGTTCATTCATTCATTTTCCGTCATGCTTATCCCAAGCGGGTTCGTGAAGGGGTGCTGTCTATGGGCGGGAGGCGGGGTACACCCTGGAAAGGTTTCCAGTCCATCACGAGGCAACACAGACAAAAAGGACAAACAACCATTCATGCACACACTCACACCTAAGGAGAATTTAGAGAAACCAATTAACCTAACAGTCATGGTTTTGGACTGTGGGAGGACGCCGGAGTACCCGGAGAGAACCCACGCATGCTCAGGCAGAACATGCAAACTCAATGCAGCTTCTTGCTGCAAGGCAGTAGTGCTACCCACTGCGTCGCTGAGCAGCCCTTAAAAGAAATAAGATAAACAAAATTTGTAATGTGCTTAAAACAAAAGGACAATATAAAATATTTACACTCCATAGAATCCTGTTGTAAAAGCCTTGATGAGCCATTCAAGATCCATTATCTTAAATGGAAACAGCACAAGATGAGTGGAATTATGTATATCAACCGCACTTTCTGGATACATGACATGATGAGTGGTTTTGGTCCCGACATCTTCTTCATAGCCTTTAGTTTTAGCAGAGTTCATTCTAAACAGCAAATAATAATCAATGCATTAGGCTTTGAATACTTTTGTTTTTCATTCATCAAAAACTGTAACCTTTACCTTATAACGACATCTTGGAAATCAATCAAGGCTCCATAATGTGATCCTTTCAGATTTACAGAATTTCCAACAACGGCACAACTCCTGCAGGTGTCGCCGCTTGGTTTTCTAAGATGAGGACTGGAGGGAAATATCTCAAAAAGTCTGTTCACTGTTTGTTTGAAGAATGCAAAATCCCGTTTTTCATTCTGTACACTCTGCAACATAGAACACATCATTGTTCTGTTCCGTTCTGAATGCATTTCTGGTGTGGGTGGAATTTCTATATGTTTAAACTGGGTGAAACTTAAGTTATGGCCTACCTTCCACCACTTGAAAGCGTTCTCAGAAAGGTTAGTGTTTTTGGAAAGAATCGGTTCAGCAGAAGGGTTCAGATGACTGGTGAGCAGGGGACCACTTTCAAACAAACATTTTTCACAGGCACACAGGGTTTGAACATGAAGGTAATACCAGTCCATATAACCTATTACAACAAACAATCCAGCCGGAAATGCAGAGTAAATTAAAACCAGCAGCCTCAGTCTGTATGACATCCTGGAAATTAAACTGTGGGAAAGAAAATGAAGACATTGCACCTTTGTGAAATCTGGTTGAATTTACTTATTTTTTCACAGCTTTAGCTAAGAGTAACTCTTGTTCATAAATCTTTTTATTTTCAAACACAACAGCTTATTAAACTTATGCTTAATGATATAAGCAGCAGTCTGATCACACATTCAATAATTTCTTTAAATACAATATTGTGAAATTGAGACAGAAAAATGTTAAGCCTTACCTTGCACTTTCTACTGCTGCTTAAAGTATTTTCAAATTTCCAAAAGCTTCTGAGGACGATTAGAAGGAAGTTTCCTTCCTCTCTGAACTCTCTGTGGATGTTGTCCTGTTTCATAGAGAATATGGCTTGGGGAGTTTTAAAAATAGGAAGAGGTGTGGTTACTTTGTAGGGCAGGTGCATTAGCGAGACAGGTCATGGTGAACAGTGTCACAAGCTTTTTGTATTAGAATTAGCATAATAAAAAAACAAATGGGAAATCTAATTGCATTTTGTGAACTGCAATACCCAGCGGAAAATAAAACCCTGGATTATTTAGCTTGTTTAATATATAAAATGTTATAATTTTAAATATCTAATATGATAAACTGAAATTTTAAGGGAAAAAAGAACTGCTTTTTCATAATAACATAAAATAATAGAGTTAATACTTTTGTTGTTGCAATTGTACATTTCTTTGAAATTTGTCATCTGCATTTAATCGATCTCTAAAGGTCCAGGGAGCAGTGAGCATCTTGCAGTGCCTGAGGGTGAAGCTTTGTGAGGTCAAGAGTGGCCTTACCTTACCTCCAGTTAGTTGTCAACTAATAGTTTATAATTTAGAAATAGTCATATCTGATTAACAGAAAATGTTCACTTAAACAAATTTGTTTGTCTTGTAATGTTACCTCCATTGTTTATCTCTAAGCTGTTTATCCTTCATGCCAAAGCAGAAACATTAATCTAGAAAGGATTATTTGCACTCTTTAATGGTGACAAGAATGCTGAATGCACTTTGTGTTGTTCTGTTTGTGAGTTTTAGCATTCTAAAACAGCGTGTCATCATGAAGCCATGCTTGATGACAAAACAGCTTCATCTTCTTTACGGTGTTCCAAAGGCGAGGATGTGATGATAAAAACCTGGGGAACATTAAAAACTGTGTTACATAGTAGAGGTTTAAAAGGCTTTTCTGATTGGATTTTCATTATGGAGTCTAGTTTTAAAATTCTGAGAATGACAGCCACCTGTAAAATAGTGTCTCCAAGCAGATTATTGGATTACACTAAAAGCAGAGAGATACATTACAGCAGTGGTTGAAAAGGTACTTTAGTAAAAATAAACAAACAAATAAATACTCTAGTAAAAGTAAAAACATCATATCAACATTTATACCTAAAGTTGTTGTGTAGGATTTTCGCAATTTTTTTTAAAAGACCCTTCCTCTCCACTAAATATACGTGCACAACCTTGCATCCATTCCCGAGAGGTAACACCTATTAAACGCGTGAGAGAGCGTTTCTCCGCCTGCACACTCTGTTTAAAAGTTGCTGCTCCCATAGCCCATACAAGCTTACTGTTTCCAAATGTCTGCCCTTACCCCTGAATTCCTTAATCACTATATAAAGCCGGGACTATATAGTGGACTTTACACCAAACTCAGTTAACTGACCGTTCGGAAAGATGATCACTGCATTTTTCTCCCCGTTGGTAACGTAACTCCTCCTCCGCCGCGCGGTGCCTGCTCCATCTTTGTTATTAGTCGCCAATTTCGGGTAGCGACAGCCTATGGGGAGAGTAGGCTGCTGTGACAGCAGATCCCATAATGCTTTGCGAGGGGAGCTCTCCACACAAAGGATTCCGGGATATATCTGCCTCTTTTGTGGCCTTTTTTTCTTCTCATGCACTTTGTAGACAATTTTTCTCTTACTACCCTCAGACATTTTCAAAGAACCGTGGTGAGAAAGGTGAGCTTCAATGACTGTCTAAAACTATAGCTCGCCACAGATATACGCCTGAGAGTTCACAGGTGCAGAAATAGATAGCTGACGGGACGAGCACTTAGACGGCCTCATGTAAACATAACAACTGAATGATTGACAATTAGGAGGACCACTTATTTAGATGATCCACCTGGAAATAAAAGATCATCCTCTATACCTTTAAGGAAAGGTAACAAAGTACTTGCTTTTAAAAGAATGTCTTACATTATTCAGAAATGTTAAAGTTGCAGTACACCAAACCTCAAGGCTCAAAGCTCTTCTCTGGATCCAGGTTCCTTCCTCTTGGTGGCAGTTGCAGTGAGACCAAGGCTTTGTTGAAGATGAGTGCTGTGCTTTCTCTGCAAAAGAAATAGTGTATTTTTGTCTGAATTTATACTAATTGGACAAAACTCCTACAGTAGGAGGGCTTTATTGTTGCAATATTATTAGCAAATGTGTGTGGAAAGTTGTGTGTTGATCTTGAGTTGTGTGTGTGCAGTAGGATTAGAAAATATCTGCAAATGTCTGAAATAACTTGTGTGTAATCTGATATGCAAATGTGTAAAAAATCTATAAATCTGTATTCTGATCTACAAATGTGTGCTAAGATTTGCAAATGCATACTAAGGTCTACAAATGTGTAGATCAGTCTGAAAACACACAAAGACGCTTAAGTCAGAAGAAATACAGACAAATCATTGGTTATAAGTCAATTCTCGGTTGGCTCTCTTTACACACGTGAAGTTTGCAGACACTTCTGCTGTGTGAGCTTTGCAAATGCGAAGAGAGCATTCGTATGCGTAATATCTGGATTTGCTGCCCTGAGTGCAGGCTCACCTGCTCACAGACTGCATCTTCCTTCCCTCCTTTGTTTCCTGCTACGGGAGTTCATGTGTCAAGGAAAGATGGCTGCTAACAGCGAGTTGGATCGGACGTTTGAGGCAACAAATAATCCATGGCTAAGCGACTTTGTTTGCATCAACAATGCCCCCACAGCAGGAAGATGGATAAGATAAACTCAAAGATGCGGCAACTGCGCCGCTGCCTCCCACTAAAAATAATATTGTGCTTCTCTGGTAACACAGGGGAAAACATGCAAGATTCGTAGTGTCTTTTTTTTTTTCTTCAAAAAAGCCACTAAATCCATCTGGACTGTTGGTTAATATATCAATGTCTCTAAGCACCAACATTGATAAGGATCAAAGCAAACACCCATGAAAACCCGACCATAAAGGCATGTTAATCGTGTTCACTTCTCGTTAGTGGCACTTTTGTAAAAGCTAGATAAGCTTTTACTTATGTTTCACATTTAAAAAAAAAAAGTTAACTGCATTTAGCAACTTACCTCAATGCTTTTTTAGATTTGAGGGTGATTTTTTGCAAGGTACAACTTCAAGCTATCAGAGGAGACAAAGGTTGCACCGGAATTTCTAGAGTATTTTTTTGAGCCAGTTAAAAAGAACAAGTCTTTCAAATAAAGCCAGTGGACACCCAGTGCTGAAGTCCATTTTAGATGTGTGTTGCTCTGGAATGAGACTCAGTAAATTATTCCCTTGCTCTTTTTGGGAAAAGTGGGTCCTACTTTATGTGTCATCTGAACATAATATTAGTAGTCGTACAAAAAGTTGTATGCATGTTACTGATGCTACAACCAACCAACTACTGTGTTGTTTTTAATTACAACATTAAATCCATACCAACTCAAGCAAGGGGAGTTTATTCAAAGCAAAGCTTTAAAATGAAGTTTAAAAAGGATAGCAGATAAAGTAGTGTCGAGTTATTTTGGGGTTTGTCTGCCTGAACTCGACCAGGCTTGGCACAGAGGACGCAGGAAACAACTCAGATCAACTTAGGCATTTCTTTTATTTGACTTTTTTCATTTTCTGTTGAATCATGAGCAGGTTGATAACCTCAACAAAGAAAAGAAAAACAAACAGATATTAGTTCCACCATGAACCATAGTCACACATGCAAACAAGTATAGTTCTCTATATTAGACTTAGTATAACATAGATTAAATTAAATTAAACATTCTTTCTCTCATTTATTTTTTCTCATTTTCTCATCTAATTTCTTAAATTAAACATTCTGATCAGTATCATCAATCTCATTTCCTGATTTACTAGAACATAAGTGGGAAAATGAAGTAAAATACATACCAGTAGCGTCTCTGTGCTCCACTGACTCAACCACACCCAGGGCAAACAAACAAAAGGCCCATCAGGTGCTCAACCAAGGCTAATCAACCTAGAGCTTCTTGCTCTCTACTCTCTCTCTGAACACCATGTGAACACTTAGGCTCTCTACTGCCCTCTGACACACTCCATGCACAAAGTAGACATCATCACATCCCAGGGTGAAAAATATTAAAAGAAAAACATGTAAAATAAACAGCATAAAGCACATAACCCAACACCTCCCACTTGAGCTCCTGGTTAATGAACCCAAGGAGGTCACACTATTGTCTCTTAATGTTGCTCCTCAATAGGAAGCAGAACCACCAGGCGTCTGACATCCCTGTGAACGATGGTGGAGGGGATTCTGGATGAGAGTTTTTCTGTGTTTTTTCTTTGTTTGTGCAGTTTCCCTCCTTTACTCATTGGAACAGGGTAGCTTGGAAAAGTCCTCAC